AATGACACGTTCAAAAACGATAGTTGTGGTATGTGTGTCCTGTAAAACATCACTACATGCTACGCTCATAGCGTGCTTGCAGCTGTTTTGCTAGCTCTACATATAGAAAACTTGGTATGACATGACTTTTATGGACGATAAACGTAAATTACACGTCTAAACAGGATAGTCCTCGTATAGGTGTCATGTAAAACATGACTGCATGCTACGCTCATAGCGCGCTCGCGGCCGTTGCGCTAGCTGCACATATACCAATTTCAGTATCGCATGACGTGAAAAGGTGACGAAGGTAACTGACACGTCCAAAAATGAGAGGCATGACATGCGTGTAATGTAAAGCATGATTACGTGCAATGCTCATAGCGTGCTCCTGGCAGCTTCGCTACCTCTACCTATCACGTCTCCTGATGCTAAATTTCTTATCATCTGCCATGAATAAACTACTTAGGTAAATGCCACATGCAAATATGATCATCATGATATGGAAGTAATGTACGGCATGATGTACGTCCACTTCGTACGTAACGTTGGGCTGACTTCAAAGCGACATATCAACTTTCCTAATTCGTGCTTCGCATATAATCGATTCCCACAGTTCGTGGGATCTGCTAATTTTTAAAGTTTTTTGGCGTATACATAAAAGCACACACATGAACATACAAAGAGCATTCTGGAATCCTCTCCCCCCCTCCTTGGAAACATTTAGAGCTACGCTCGTCGTGCAAAGCAACGGGTCATAGAAAGAGGACGCAAAGAACCGCAGACTGAAACTTGGGTTTCATGACAAAATATGAAGGCAAGTAAAATTATCTGCTCTTTTCGTTGTAAAGTTTAATATCTTGAATCTGGGGCAATAATAATACAAATAATAATAATAATAATAATAATAATAATAATAATAATAATAATAATAATAATAATAATAATAATAATAATAATAATAATAATAATAATAATAATAATAATAATAATAATAATAATAATAATAATAGTAATAATAATAATAATACTGTATGGTCGCCCATTCGATGTCGTCACCGACCATCATGCACTATGCTGGCTTTCATCATTGAAGGATCCCTCAGGCCGTCTCACCCGTTGGGCTCTTCGCTTACAAGACTACGATATCCGCGTGCTGTACCGCAACGGACGCCAGCATGCTGACGCCGACGCCCTCTCGCGCTCCCCTCTGCCTGAAGGTGATGTGCTCTGCTCAGTATCCTCGGCTGCTGTTTCTGCCATTGATGTTGACATCATCGCTACCGAACAGCGAAAGGATAATTGAATCGGCCCGCTCATCGACATGCTCTCTGATCCATCCGCAACGCCATCCACGCGTGCCTTGCGTCGTCAAGCTCGCCATTTCGCCATTCGTGACGGCCTCCTACACCGACGCAATTACGACACCGACGGCCGACAGTGGTTACTCGTGATACCCCGCAGTCTGCGGTCAGAGATATGGGAATCCTTCCATTCTGATCCGCAATGCGCGCACTCTGGGGTATACAAAACCTACCATCGCATTCGACAACGCTACTTCTGGCGCGGGATGTACCGCTATGTGCACCAGTTCGTTCGCTCTTGCCTCACTTGCCAACGCCGTAAACCGTCAGCCCACATGTCGCACGCCAGTCTACAACCGTTACCTTGCCCTGACCGTCCCTTTGGGCGCGTAGGTATCGATTTGTATGGACCACTTCCTCTGACGTCGGCTGGTAACTGCTGGGCCATCGTTGCCGTTGTCCATTTACGCGATACGCCGAAACCGCCGCTCTCCCTGCGGCTGCTGCGCGCGATGTTGCGTCCTTCCTGCTGCATCGATTTATACTGCGCCACGGACCACCCCAAGAGCTTCTCAGCGATCGAGGCCGTGTCTTCTTGTCGGAAGTCGTCGAAGCCATTCTGACGGAGTGCCATTCTGTCCACCGCAAAACTACTGCTTACCACCCACAGACGAATGGCCTCACCGAACGCTTTAACCGCACCCTCGGCGACATGCTTTCTATGTACGTCGCTGCCAACCACACTAATTGGTGTAATATACCGCCCCTCAGAGCACGACTGGTTTTTCACCATTCTACTTGCTGTACGGAAGGCACCCGTCGCACACCATGGACACGATACTCCCGTACACGCCGGATCCATCGGAGTGTACACCTATTTCCGAGACAGCCAGGCTTGCTGAAGAGTGTCGCGAGCTTGCCAAGACTTTTACGACGCAAGAGCAAGAGCGGCAGAAGAGTATCCGTGATGGCGCCACCACTTCTGAGCCCACGTTCCTTCCTGGTGCGCTTGTATGGCTCTCGATCCCGACCTCTGCCGCTGGCCTCTCTTCCAAACTACGTCCCAAATACGAAGGCCCCTACCGTGTCATCGAGCGCACCTCACCCGTCAACTATCTGATCGAACCCGTTGAACAATCTTCGGACATGCGCCGCCGTGGGCGAGACATCGTCAACGTGGAGCGCCTGAAGGCTTATTATGACCCGCTCATAATAACAAGCTGTTAGGTCGCAAGGCGGCTCCCTCTTCGACCCCGGGGTAATTGTAGCGAAGCCTCCGAACTCTGAAATGGGTCGAACTCTTGAGTACCTTCTAGTGGGGCTACCCAACAAGGACGCCGCTCGCGCTGAGAGCCCGTGCTTGTCTGTGACTGTCGCCATTGTATATTCTCGCTCGTTGCCGGCTAATAAGCGCCTTAACAATATAAAAATCATAATAATATTAATATTAATGCTAAATAATTGTTAATATTATTTATTAATAAATTATTTTAATATATGATATTATTAGTTTTGTTATATTATTATTATTATTATTATTATATTATTATTATTATTATTATTATTATTATTATTATTATTATTATTATTATTATATTATTATTATTATTATTATTATTATTATTATTATTATTATTATTATTGTCTCGCAGTCGGTGGCGAGACACTAGCCTGTAAACTGATCATCCGTCTTGTGACACATTTCCCGGCTCTCCTGAGGTTTTTCCTACTTGGGTGATAAGCTGCCGTTTCGTCGACGCCTGCCGTTGCTGTTAAGCTGTATTTCAAGCTTGGAACCTGCTTTTCTACAAAATTCGGCTGGTTCATCAGGATAAGAAAACGCCCCATTCATGGCTCGCGCCCCTGCTCCATACGGGACCTTCGGACGGGCAAGCTGCGTTTTCATCGGTACCTGCCGTCGCCGCTACGCTGCTGCGGAAATCAGCACTTGCTCATCTGGCAACGTTGGCGTTCACCAGGATAAAACGCCCACCCTATGCTGCTCGCTTCGCAGTCGGCGGCGAGACACTGGCCTGTAAACTGATCATCCGTCTTTTGACAGGTATAGTGTGTGTTGACACCTCTTCTTACTTACTGTAAGTGATTTGCTGCTGACTGCCGAACTTCCTTTTTTTCTTTTTTCGTTGCCAGTTGCTATGAGTGAGGAAGACTTGTGTATTTCATGTCAAAAGACTGTGCCTTGTGATGGTCGATTTATGAAATGTCTTGAATGCAAATATTTCTATCATCTTGGATCTAGCTGCTCAGGCATAGCTCCCAATACATTTACTACTATGGGGCAGCCGAAAAGAGACTGTTGGGTGCGCAAAACCTGCAGAGCCAACAAAAAGCAATGTGCCTCTGCTATGTCCTCCGATGCACCCCCAACGCCAAGCAGCAGCGATTCTATTCCCGCTTTGGTCGAAGAAATTAGAGATAGGAAAAGAAGTTTAGAAGTACTGCCCGCACTAAGTGAGAAGGTTGTGCTCAAGCTGGAACGAACCTGAACATATCGACCATTTCTTATCACATGTCACCGTTTCAAAAATTAAACAAAAAATTGCTTCAAAATTTTATTCAGAAAACTAGGAATATCACTTACTACTCCTAATATTTTGTCTTTTGGGGCCGCTTTATTAGGACACAGCGACAGCAACATCTGCGGGGCTCTCTGCGAATTCCTATGTAACACAAAAAGATTACCTTGTTGAGCCATTTATCAGCTCTCGATTTTTACTAGCCAATCTACCATTTATTATTTAGCTGCTACACTGTAATGATTTAACCTTAAGAAGAATTTCATATAAAGATCACACCTCCAATATTCAACAAATACTATTATTTCTCTCCTCCCCCCCCCCCTTTTTCTTTTTTTACATTGCGCCAAAATTATTTCCCAGTCAAAACACAGTAATTATATTCCTCTAGTCTAGAAAACCTAAACTTTCATTAACCACCGGCTTCTTGGCCAATCCCCCTCAGTGGGTGAGAGCCACAAAAGAAAGGAACAAGCAAGCAAGCAAGCAAGCAAGAAGGTTGATTCGCTCTTGCTTCTAAAGACAGAATTTTTGCAGCTGTCAAAGTTAGTCGCTGACCTTGATAAGTCAGTCTCTTTTCTTTCAAAACAATATGATACCACATGTGAACAGCTCAAATCTTGAGAGGGCGCTGCATCAGAGACAGAGAAATTAAAAAAACTGAACGAAATTGTTGAGGCTCAGGCTAAAATTATACATCGTTTACAACAAGAGCAAAACAAATCCGACCAATACAGTAGACTGTGTAACTTCGAAATTCATGGCTTACCAGTCACCCGAAATTAAAATTTGAAAAAAATGCTCATAGATCGTGCTGTGAAACTTAAACTGCATGCTTTTTCTGCTACTGATGTGGTTGCCGTGCATCGCTTCCCTGGCAAGCAGGATTCTTCTCCAACAGTTCTGGTGCGCTTTTGCAATGTCGCTATGAGAGCAAAAATGGTATAACAAGCGTGGTAAATTACAAGAGTTATACCTCACTAAAGTGCTACCGAAACTTTTCTTCAATGACAACCTAACAAAGCTCAACAGGCATCTGTTCTGGCTTGCTAGGTCTGCGGGCAAGCAAAACAATTACAAATTCATTTGGGTGACAGCAGGCAAATTATTTGCCAAGAAGGATGAGGATGCTCCACTCAATCGAATAATCAATGACGGTGATATTGAAAAGATCAAGTGAATATTGTGTCATCTGCTCCACTTGCAGTTTCCAACTTCGATACCTTTAAGAGCAGCTTCGGTCCTAACTCTGATTCAGATTTTACTTTGGTTAATGTAAATATTCGCAGCTTGCGCAATCACCGGGTGGAGTTCAAAAGGTTGGAAGAAGATGCGAACACTTACGTGGATGTTTTCGTACTCACTGAAATTAATGTTCCAGATTTATTCCTGCATTTAATTGTGCTGAAAGGTTTCACCGCTAAATTCTTAACTCGAGGGCTTCGTAGAGGTGGTGGCACTGCTGTATTTGTGAATGATAAGTATACTGTTTCTGGAGTAAATGTTAGTTTCACCCATGCTGAAGCCCTTACATTAAAGTTGTGTTCCTTTCATTTAAACCTCCCTTTGTTAGCAATCTACTGCCCCCCTAATAGTAGTGTCAGTCGCTTTATTCTAGAACTAGAAGCTGTCTTGAAGCGTTTTAGTTGTGAAGAAATATTTTGCATCACGGGTCACCTGAACATTGATATTTTATGTCTAGGTAAAAATCCAAGTGTCTGATTATCTTTCAGCTCTGTCAGCTTTCGGCCTGGAACACACAATTACAGCTTTCACACGAGAAGAAGTCTTAAGTGGTCAATTAAAACGCTCTTATTTGGACCATATAGCAGTATGGGCGCTGAATCACACTTGGAGCTCCTGTGTCATAGCACAACGGCTAGCAGACCATTACTTTACTTCCTGGCGCCTTTCTTTGAAAACACTGCCTTCTGCCTCTTGCTGCTTGAAAGCCGACAGCTCACGTAAAGAAATGCGTGTCTCAGTTATTGATCAACGCAAATTGGATTCGTTAAATAAAGAGTTTGATTGGTCCTATCTTATTGTTTCTGGTTCTCCTGGTGAAGTATATGATAGGTTTTGCTCAAAATTGCGTAGTTTGCAACATCCTTGTACTCGTATTGCCAGGGCTAAGCAAAGACGTAACCACAACTGGCTGTGTCCATATATTTTAGAAGCAATCGCTGACAGAGACATGCTTTGGAAACAGCTTAAACGGTCCCCTGGTAATGCAGAACTTCGTACCAACTACAGAATCACAAGGAATAAAGTGGTTGCCCTTATCCAACGCCCAAAACGACGATACTTCCATTATCAGTTTCAGTTATCTGCCAGAAACCCGGCGCAGATGTGGTCTTTGATAAACCATCTTCGATCTAAAGAAAATAGGGGTGCTAATCCTACTGGTGCGTTTACTGGGAACCCTGCGCATACAGCTGATCTTTTCAATCGCCACTTCGCAAATGTGTCTGGTGGACTTCCTTCGGCGGCGATAGGCCGTTCTGGTTTAAAGAAAGCAACACCTGCCGCGGCCTTCCTTCCGATTTTAACAATAGATGACCTCACTACAATAGTTTCTGGCTTCAAAAGGCAGAAACCAGCAGGTATTGACGGTATCTCTGTATCTTCGCTGCAGCGAAATCTGGAGGCATTATCAGAAATTCTACTTTTCATGCTTAATGGGTTTCTGGAGACGGTTTCTATCCCATCAGACTTAAAAAGAGCAATTGTAAAGCCACTATTTAAAGGTGGACCAAAAGATAGCCTTGACAGTTACCAACACATTTCAGTTTTACGTATCTTATCCCAAATTGTTCAGAAATTCTTATTGTAATGCTTGACTTCTTTTCTAGATAAATTTTCGCTCATTTCAAGCCGCCAGTTTGGTTTTGTCGCAGGTCGTGGCACAATTTATCTACTTGGGGAATTTTTTGATGAACTCAATGATGCTTTGGAACGTAACATGTTTGCCTGTGCTTTATTTCTTGATATCTCTAAAGCATTTGACACCGTAAACCACTCTATATTGCTTGAAAAAAAATATTTTCATGGCTTTAGGAGTCCGTTCTACGACTTTCTTAACAATTATCTTTTTGATCGTTCCCAGGTAGTGCGATTACACAATCACTTACCCTTCAGTAATAGGCTTCCCTTGAAAGCTGGTGTACCAAAGGGATCCATTTTATCCCCTCTTTTATTTAATATATTCATAAATGATTTTACTGCTGCTGTTCCAAAATGTCTTGTATTTGAGTATGCAGACGACACTGTTCTGGTAACGAAACATGTATGTTACAATAAAGCGTTGTCACTACTACAAGACAGTGTTTATTAGGCTGCGCCATGGTTCACATATGATTGCCTGGTGTTTAATAAAAAACAAACAAAATTTGCTTTAAAGGTCCATTGAAAGCAATGGTTACGAATGCACCCCTACTTTTTCATGCCCGTGATTGCGCCTCCTGAAAGTGTACTCCCATTGAATATGTTAATTCTATAAAATATCTTGGTGTATTTTTTGATAGCAACCTGTCCTGGAATGATAATTTGGCTTACATTTGTGACAGACTACGAAAAATCTCGTGGTTACTTTTCAATATTAGATCAATTGCACCCACCAGTATTAAAGTGACAATCATGCTTGCTCTTGCGTATAGTATCCTTCGATATGGCATCACTTTATTGGCTTTCTGTTCTTTGCGATGGCAGCGTCGAGTTGACAATATTTTAAAAAATATGTAAAATACATTGTGTATAATCGTTCTTCAACAGACAATGTAAATTCATTTTCTTTACTTCGCCTGCCGTCTTTCAAGGCGTCCTTTAACCAAACTGTTGTATTACGGCATTTCTGGGGCTCTCAGTTCAACGAATGCATTACCCCTCGAATATTTAGAGAAACTGCCCGCTTTTCTGTACCATTCGTCAAAACACGATATGGCAAAGCTACCAGAAAGGTCTATGCCCCTACCGTTTTTAATGACATCCCCGACAGTGTTTTTTCGGCAACGACTAAACGCAGTCTATGAAAGAGCCTAAGGTCTCTTTAATGCTGCATCAGTTATCGCATTATCTTTTTCTCCTAGTTTCTTGCATACTGTGTATATATATACTCTGTTTAAAATTTTTCAATGCTTGTCTTCACATTTCTGCTGTTTAGGTAGTATTGCTTCCGCTAATTTCATTCTCGATTGTTATTGTGTTTATATGTAGCGTAAATGAGTTACATGTATTCTTTCTCTGATTGTTTACATGAAAAGCTTTTCAATATATTGTAACAGACTAGAAAAGGGTAGAGAAGAGAAGCAGAGGAAGACGAAGAGTCTTGGCACGATCGCAGTGTGCTGCCACAAACGACCATCGTTCACCTCCTGTAAATAAAACCATCTTATCACAGCTCGCTGTTACAGTTGTGGTGGACGTGCTGGGTAATCGATACCCGAAGACGGAAGGTGAACCGCAAGTTCTTCGACGGAGCCGTCGCATTGCTGGATTTCAACCGAATCCATCTGGGCTGGACATGTCCCACAACGCAAATGAACACCGACCCCTCTCGACTTCTGCGCCGACCAGTTCAGCTCCACAACTGAGAGATGCTCGTCCCTTTTCTGGCAGACCAGATGAAGACGTCGAGGCTTGGCTCATCCATTACAAACGGGTGAGCGCCACTAACAAATGGGATGCCGCTTCTCAGCTTTTGTACGTCGTGTTCTTTCTGACCGATACAGCATTAATGTGGTACGAGAATCGGGAGGAAACGCTAACGACGTGGGACAGATTTGTTTCTGAAATCAAAGAGCGTTTCGGCGACCCAACAACGATAAAGAAAAGAGCAGAACAGACGCTAATGCAACGCGCTCAAATGCCAGGTGAAACTTGCACGACCTACATTGAGGAAGTCATAAAGCTATGTAGGACCATTGACTCCGGAATGTCTGAGGATGACAAAGTCGGGCACATTCTAAAAGGAATCGCCGAGGATGTTTACAGTTTCCTCATCGCGAAAGACACCTTGACATCTGTCACCGATGTCATTCGTCATTGCCGCAATTTTGAGCAACTAAAGACGAGGTGCATCACGCCAAATCTCGGCAGGCTGCCCAATGTGACGACCATCGCGAGCATAGACAGCAACCAGGCACTTGATCTTGCAACAACAATCCGGCAGATCGTACGTGAAGAACTCGGCCTGTCGCGCAAGTGGCAAACCGCCCAAGCACTCATCCTCACTATCAGCCACCAGAGTTCGAGCGAAACGTTGCTTCATTCTCCTCGCACCGAGTGGCGGAGGGCTTTGAGGATTCTGATGCCACACCTCAGAATCAGCCACGTCTATACGATAGAAGCCCTGCCTATGACGCACGATCACGACGAGCACAGCCACATTCTTATACTCAGGGTTCTCAGCCGGACTACGTCCCGCTCGGCAAGGACAGTACCAACCCTACTACCAAGATGTGACTTACGACGAATACAATGAATTCCAGAGAGTGGCAGAAACCTGTTCTTTGCGTGATAACGAACTTCCTCACCGACAGCAGCGGCCCAGGATTCGTTCCATTCAATATAGTATAAACCGTGACCCTCCCGTGTGCTACAACTGTGGTTTCACTGGGCATATTGCTCGGTATTGCCGACAACAACGGCGCCAATCACGAAGGACACCAGCCATATCTTCGCCACCAAGACCCGATGCTTCATATGACCTGCGGACAACCGACTTGTTTCCAAGGGACCGTTTTTTGCGCGAGACCAGACGCAGTGATTCGCCAGCATCCGAGCGGAGTTTGACACCACCATCCAACCGTTCTCGTCGCTCGCCGTCTCCTCTGCGTCGTTCTTCTCCGCCGCCGGGAAACTAGCATCCGCGGCCAATGGAGGTGAGGTCGCCGGACGGTCTTTTCAAGATATACCTCTGCTTATTGTTATGATCAAAAACAAAGTAAATGTGTTGATTGATGGAATACCAACGATGGCGTTAGTTGACACTGGGGCGACTGTGTCTGTGATGAGCCTCGCCTTCAGAAACCGCTTAGGTCGCAAAGTTATGTTTTCATGAGACGATACAATCACCTTTCGTGGTGTAGGCGGCGAGTGGCTTAATCCTGTTGGTGTATGTGCTGTCAGTGTTTCTATGGCTGGAAAAGTATTTGTATCAGAATTTCAGGATCTATCTCGTTG